CCCTCAATTCATCGGCCCTCTCCACCCTCAGCTTCTCTAGCTCAGCCTTAAGCTCTTCCCGGACCCTCAATAATTGGGCCCTCTTCGCCTCCTTCTCCATCATGACCTTGGGCTCACTAGCTTGGGCTAGAAGGCCATGGCGGTTGGACCCAGAGGCTTGGAGCTTCTAGTATAGCTCGATAATGGTGGGCTGGTGACTAGATACAATTGCCTCATGCTTGGCATTATGAGCTTCCAAGTCAGACACCACCTGATCCTTCTCCTCTAAAACCTTGTTGATTTCGGTGAGGTAACCCTCTTCGACCTAGGCCAAGTTGTCAACCCAATATTGTTGGCTCCAAGCTTGTGCACAAACCCCTTGAGCCATGGCATTTACCTAGAACATTAACTGAAGTTGGAAATACAAGGCAGGAAAGTGTAGGAAGAAAAGAAATGTGAGGATACTGACTTACCTTCATGATGTGCTTAAAAAGGCAAATCTCCACCACATCAAAGGGCAGGCTCTTGACCTCGACCCATGACGAAGGCAACACAAACCCCCTACTCAGTTTGCAGGCCACGATGTGGTGACACATGATCTGCTTGGCAAACTGACCATGCAAGAACCCAGATCAGTGTGCGCTCAGAAAGTTGAATGGAGGTTCCTTCCCTCACCTGAGCTAGAGGAGGGGTTGTAGAGATTGACACTTGGGAGGCCCATGGAGGCGGGGGCGTCAACGTGTTACTGGTTTCAGCAATTTCCCCTAACCTCAAGGAATGCTCGGCCAACTAAACCTATGGGTCCTCGTCCTCCAAAGCAATGACCTTGGTGGTGCCTATGGTAACCCGCATCTTGATGACGCGGGAAGACTCACCCTCAATGGTCTTGCTCTTCTTTGGCTTCAGCTTCTTGGTGACAAAACTCCCTGACATGTGGTCCATGTTAACTGCTGAAAAGCAAAGAACCTAGTTAGTGCCATTTTAGCTAAGGAAAAAAGACAAGAATAAAAAAGGATAGGACTTTGGAGAACTAAAGGTAGATTACCTCGGTGCCCTGGACTCATGCCTATTCACAAGAGTGCATCCTCGGCCAAATAATCATCTATCTTCAACCCGAGAGCAACAATCTCTTGTAACCGAATTGCTTCCTCCAAGGTTAGGTGATGGCCCTCGAAGTTGCTAAAAATCGAGCCCCAATGGTTGATGAACTTCTAGTAATGATCCTGGATGACGAAAAGTACATCAACTTCCAATTTGAGACTTTATTTGGGAGGCCTTCAAGGAACTTTTTGTTGTTCTTGAAGGCAAAGTAGCAATATTTCTTGTCCTTGGGGTGGTGTTTGAGCGCACACAAAGCCCCAAAAGCCCTAACGTTAATGGGGACCCCATGTGGCAAGGCTACCTCTATAGCAAGCCTAATGCCATTAAGGGAGAGGTTCCCTAGGGTGATCAAAAGCAATTCAAGAGGTCGGTCACAAGACACCAGATGGGAAACCTCAACCTAGCAATGAATTGTTGCTCAAATACACAAACCTCGTTGTCGCTATGGTGCCAAGAAGCCTCGTTAGGATCTAGAGGCCTAAATTGGTAGTCATCAGGGACCCCATATAGGAGACAGATCCTCTCCAAGTCGGCTAAGGTACACTAGGTCAAGGTGAAAGGCTCATTGGGGATAATCTCAAGCTTGTTAGAGATCGAGGTGAGCTACCCCAACTTTATAAGCTGTAGAGGTCGACTTCACGACCTCCCTCTCTACCCTATCCATTTCCTTAAAGTCATTAGTTGTGGAGCTCAACATGGGACTCTATTAAAAGTAACACAGAATGGAAAAGAACTCGGGAAGGAAAGACTCACCCATGACAAAGTGGAGAATGAAGACGAGATGAGAAGACAACTACGTGTAGAAACCTTTGGCAGCGAGCTCTTCGACCTTAGATAGGAGGGACCACTTCAAAGACAAATGTGCAAATGGACCCCCTTGGCATTCCTATTTATAGACGGAGGAAGTGGACGATAGATGGCTATGACCAAACGGGTTTGACGGTCAGGATTGCCAACAATTAGACTCCTCAAGGTTCCAAACCAACTAAGTACGTTTTTGAAGTCCACATTGAGTTAATAAATAGTTTCAGGTCCATACGTGCAAGTGGCACACCTGTTAGAATTCCCCCAAATAGTGTTTCCAAATAGACTAGGGGATTCAAACGAGAATGAGCAACCAAACACCTGACAAGATTTATCTTTGGAGCAGATACATCCTTTGCCCAAGCTAAATCACCTCGACCTTGAATGGGGGGGGGGGGGCAAAACTAACCCCCAAGGTGATTGGGTATGTGGCAATTGTAGGAGAATTGATGTTTGGCCCACAAACTAGACCTCAATGGTTTAGTATGACCTTGGGGCAACAAAGACACCTTGAGTGGTTATAGGTCACCTCGTTGTGTTGTGCATAGTTCGTTGATCAAATAGACGCGAGCTATCCTCTGATGTCCCCGAGATCCAACTAAGTAATAGCTCAGAGTGCAACCCAAGCTACAAGTGCAGAAAGCACCTTTCGTTGAGAAGAGCTACCCCAGGAGGGTCACATTTGAGCTTCCCTACGTGTATAGGAAGCGGCCATTTAGCAGTTCCATGTAGTGAAGTCACCAACACGTATGACAGCCCTATCATTTAATGGGTCACGAGCCCTCTCCATGCATCAACAACGTGGAGAACAAATTAGTTGGGCATGTTACACCTAAGTTCTAGGTGGCCTGGCCGAGTCCCAGGTGTCTTGACCGTGCACCAGGTAGCGCTAACCGTGTTCTAAGTGTCCTAACTGATTCTAGGTGTCCTGACCAACCTCTAGGTGTCCAAGCCAAGCTCCAAGTGTCTTGCAAAGGCAACGTGTGTTCCCCACCTCTTTGACACGTACACACTCGGCAAGCATCCGAAAACCTATATAAAGGTCAAACTAGCATTCAATTCATACTTTATGCCTCATTAAATTCTCACCTAACATACTTCAGATAGCTCGGCCACTGACTTGATTGTCAGAGATCTAAGCTTGGGATATCACCTTGGGCCTTTTGACCTCGTCTTTCCCTTATAGGTGAATTTCAAGCTACTCCGGAGATGTCACCAATTTTGACTCACATTAGAAAGCTAGAGAGAAAGAGAGCTAGAAAGTGAGAGAGCATTACCTTGAACAATGTGTCGTTAAACACTTATTGGGGAGTCTGGTTGTGCTCCTTGCTTTTCATGTCCCAAGGTAATCTTCAATCAATGTTTCAGGGGCTTCGTATGTTTTGTGCAAAAGGTGGAACGAGGAATGCAGGAACATTGGGCTATATTTGGTGTTCACCACATGCCCCTTCTGTATTCGAGGATTGTGGCATGCTCTCATCTTTCTCTTTACAGCAAGTGAGGTCGCACCATGTTGTTGTTCTCCACGTCGACCCAGCTTAAGATGCATGGTGGTCCATGCCCTGACTAGTTATTCTTCCATGTCCATAGTCCACATGGCGGTTCAACTAGGGTGAATTAATACCGCATCACTTTTATTTGCATTACAACAGAATCTTCTCCTCACTCGAGTTTCAAGTTGTCCTTATGAACTAGGGAAAATCTATGATAAGGGAAAGATATGATATAGAAAAAAATTTGATCAATCAAAACCCACCCATGAATTTTGATAAATGACAGCTGATTCGCTTCCACATTTATGATTTCAATTTATTGGTCAGTTGTTATGACACCTGATTCTCTTCCACATTTATGATTCCAATTTATTGGTCAATCGTTTTTTCGATATCTTTTCCATATCGTAGTACACATGTTTATTTTTAAACTTGTAGAAAGAAATCCCATTTTCTAGATCCAAGATCCAAGATGTTGTAGTATTGTATGCATTTAAAAATTTGAAGAATATAAAAACTATAATAGATATTTTGAAAATTTTGTGAGATTTTATGGGTTTGGATTTAGATTTGCTACTATTACAATAATGAAGCATAAAATAAACATTTCGATATTTCTGTTGTTGACAATGTCAATTGTCGATAAAATCTAGGGATACTTTAAAGGTTATAAGAGAAGTTTGAGTCCATTGAAGATACCTAATTGCTGGAGCCATTAGGTGATCAAAAAGATTAAAATGTTTATTCATTGTAACAAATATCATTTTGGTGTTTCTTTCAAAAAGTGTATTGAAGTTACTTAAACGATTGAACCAAATTGGAATGAAACGACCATGCCCACATACTGATGTGAAAATATTACCAACCAAACTTATTAGGGCTGCAAGTCGGGCTGGGTTAAATGGGGTTGAGGCCAACCCTAAATCCAACCTTTAAGTTCTAAATCCCCAACCATAATCTAAGCCAGCCCAACCCAAAGTCAACTTCAGGTTAGGCCCAACCCAACCTTCTTCCCATCCCTTAAAATCTTGTAGAACTTCTTAATCTTAGATCTTAATTTAACTTTTATTATATATATTAATCCTATGTTGTATTAGTATTTGTTTGTTGATATTTTTATTGGTTCTTTAAGTACAAAATTCAGAAAAAAAATGTATTTGAAATGACTATAGTTTATTATGATGATTCATAATAGATCTTTTATGGGCAGCAAGTTATGGGTGGCAAACAACATAGAGGAGATAAAAAATAAAATATTTAGAAAACATAAAATATGTTATCAAGGTTTTAGTATTTCCAATTAAGATTAAGTAAAGTGATTATCTTAAATGAAATAAATGATAGTATGTGGTAGTGACTATACAAGTTATCAACCCTAACCCAATCCGAAATAAATTTGAATTAATAAATTTCAACCCTAACCCTAACCCGAACATCAACCCGATTGGATTAGGTTCGGGCTAACCCGGCCCAAGTTGCAGCCTTAAAACTTTACTCAGTCGAGGACAAACTAGACGGGATCCATTGACGGCCCAGGATCGCGTTAAAGGAGTTCTATGCTACGGCCCACAGCCCACAAGGCACGGGCCCATGTTTTTGCCTCCATGTTAAAAGATTCGTTTGGCGATGAGGGTGCTGGAGAGTGGAGACTCGAGTAAGCAAACATGGAGGAAGGAGAGGTACTGTGCGAGGCGGCGAGGTCCGGGGACTCCGCCAAGATTAGAACTCTGATCGATGCCGGCACTGACGTTTCGTACTTCGATGGTGAAGGTCTGACTCCACTAATGCACGCGGCCAAGCACGGACACGCCGATGTAGTGAAGAGTCTGCTCGCAGCCGGCGCTCCTTGGAACGCCCTCTCTCCCTCTAACCTCTCAGCTGGAGACTTCGCCATTGATAACGGTCATCAGGACGCCTTCGACGTCCTTCTAAATGCAGGTCCTTTTCTCTTTCTCTCTCTCTCTCTCTCTCTCTCTTTCTCTTTCTCTCTCCAACAACAAAATCATTGATTGATTAGCCTAAAAGGTTCTTTCGTCTCAATTACTGAAACAATAATCTTCGGAAATTAAGAGCTCGGTTGCTCATTGTTACGAAAGAGTATGACTTTCTGTAATGGGAAATGAGGTTTAGACCATTGAGGATTTCAGTAACCGTTAGAGATTTAAATTCGACAAAGTTTACTATAGTTTGTTATAAAAACCTCCAGGTACTGACAATTGTAAACCAATAATTGCAACCTGAGCATTAAATATGGTTTATCATGACACAGAAGGTGTTTTTTCCGGGATCAAAAAGAACAGTTTTGCTTTGCAAATTATATTTCTTCCTTCCGTGGCCGTTATGTTTCAGTCATTAATGATGAGCTTCAAGTGAACCGAACCAAATTGAGGGATTTTGACTTGTTACTTGATATGCATATCTATTAATTGGAAGTTATAACTTCTTAGCAAAAAAGAGTGACTAAACCCATGCCTTTTTTTTTTTTATCAGTAACGGCAGAATTTATTAAGAATAAGAATCTTTAATTACAAGAGAGGTGGAGGTAAACTTTCTTAACTCCCCCATTTTAGCAAAACAAAAAATACAAGATTAGAAATGAGCCCAAAAGAAAGATCCCCTATTCACCCCTTGCTTGGCTAACTAAATCCATGCCATATTATGTGTTACCTTTCAGAATGCTGCCCGTGGAATGTCAGAAGCACTACATTCTGACATTTCTTTGCTAGAGCTGCTTTTATCCCATGGTAAGTAACACTGCTGCTACTCTAGGGAAGCTTCCCTAAGAATTCTCTATTATTAGAGCTGAAAATATATCCCTTATCTTATTTCGTTGGGTTACTTAGTGTTTACAACACAGCTCCTAATGTATTGAGGTAATGGCCAGTCCTTTCATGCAAACCCAAGCTATTTCATCTAGACATCCTTTACTGTGTCTTTCCCCACTCATGGATTGTGAGTTTTACTTGCCATATAAAAAATTTAGAATGTAATTATCTTTGCTTGACAATAAAGTAGGGTTGTAGTTAGGATGCATTCTATTCTTGAGACTTTATTGTTTCCCTTCTGCATTTGTTTCGTTTCTTCTTCTTGTTCTTCCCCCCCCCCCCCCCTTTTTTTGTTTTAATTGATATTGAATTCATTAACTTAAAAGTTGTACAGTGCTTAATTTGGTTTCAGTTTGGATAATTCCCCTATCCTATTATCCTGTTATTCATATGCTATGTTTAGCAAAATGTTCAGTTTGATGATAAAATGAATGCTAACAATATTTAGCGCTTTATTGATAATAGAATGATTTTATTTTATTTTTCTATATTTCTTAAATCACTTAATAAGGAATAGGTTTAGTTTATCTATATGAGCATTATTAGATAATTAAATTAACCTTAGGAAACTCGAGAATATTATATTGGGAATTGTGAATTCATGGTTTGTTTTGATATTTTAAAGTTATAATGATGTTTCTTAGGGAGTGAGGTTTAATGGTTCCAAGGAAGTTTACAATTAGTCATGTAGACAGACATGTTTATAAAGTGTACAATGGTGCCCGCCAGTACTTTTATAATCATTGATTTTTCTAACATTCCATGCATGTAACAATCATTCATTAGGACATAAAATAATGATATCGGCATACAATGGATAAGACATATAGATACTGATATATTATGTTTGTTTATGATCTGGACATGAAAATTCCTGTGATATCAGATTTGTATATTTATGCACTTTTAAATGTAAATATTGCATATTTGACCAACGCTGGTGTATCCTTTGGTTTTGAGAAGAAGTATCTATACTTGAGCAGGAATACAAGCTGAGTTGGTGCTGGGAACAATTGCAAGGGCAACTAATAAAAATGGAAACTCTAATGGGGATTACTTAGATGAAAGGGTTACATTTAGTGAGGATAGGCTTACGGATGGCAATAGCAAAGCAGTCATGATGGCTTGGGAGAAACCATTGATGGAAGCTCATGCAAAAGCCATTTGCTCCACAGGTGGGCACATCCTGAATATTGGCTTCGGAATGGGACTTGTAGATATGGCTATTCAACATTATGGACCAACTACACATACTATTGTTGAGGCTCACCCAGATGTTTATGATCGTATGCTTCGTACTGGATGGGCTGAGAAGGACAATGTAAAGATAATATTTGGTCGCTGGCAAGATGTTCTTCCTCAGCTGGAATCTTATGATGGTAACACTAGACTCAATATTCTTTTTGAAAAAAGAAAATACTTGTTTCGTCTTTGTTGTGGTTCATCTGTTTTCTAGTATATTGTGATTAACTGATTATAAATTTTATATGATCGTGTTTGCCATTTGGTTTTCTCCTCTGAGATATTAGGTGATGCCTAGTATAGTATGCTATTTAGTTTTATGTGATCATGCATTCTGGTATTTGCTAGTTTGCTTCCTGCTTTAATTATTATTGAAGTTTCATTATTTAAAAATTCTTGGTATTTTGCAAATATCAATCCTCCATAACTGACATCTAGGCACTTAAATCCATAGGATCCTTCCATGAATGTTGGTTAATGAAAGTTTCAACAGTAACTAGAGCTATGTGCAATTTCCAGTTGCAGTTCTGTAGTTTAGGCAGGGAATATTGTTAACTTGGAATGAATCTGATCACTGAAATTTGCATGGAAGAAGGCATTGTCAAGAGCTTTTTCATTTAAAGTGTAATAGGAAGCTAAGAGTACAAAAGGCGACTTTTTGGTAGATTACACCATGAACAAGTGAGAAATCATACATGAATGTCTACTATTATATTTGAAAATTGGCTTTTGAAATTTCGTCATCATAATTTCTGCTTAACAAATTGAAATGAAGTATTAAATGCTACTTTAATCTTTAAGCCTATAGTTATAATGCCCCTTCATATCAAGAATGCAGGGTATGTTTCTAGTTGCTGCTTATGGTTGTCCATGTGAATATGTCTATATGCTGTGTAGTTAATTGGGTTGTCAAAAGGTAGCATGTCTTATCTTGCATATCCATGTATTTATCCTGGAAAATTGAGTTTACTCCTTTTCACTAAATTTTAGTTCCTCAACCATCATTTCACTTTTAAGATATTTTTTTGCCATTTGTTTTGATAAATTCTTCTACAAGGTTTATGGGCTTGCAGTTTCTTGAAGGATGGTATTGCTTTTGGTCTTGTTTTATTGGTTTTGCTTCAGGTCATTCTTGAAGTTTAAAATCTTTTACGGTCAACAAATTCCAACTCCTTTTTTGTGATGTAAATTGTTCTATTCTCACATGGCAATAGATTGAGCCTCCTTGTTGTGATTACCAATTGTTAATTGATGATTGCTTCCATAATGTGGGACAAATCAAGAAGCTAAAACTAACCATCTATAGATCTTGTGGTTTGCATCACAATAAGTAGCATGTGACTCCCAAGGTCACATGACTTGATCACTATGTGGATCTTTTAGCCCTTGCATGAATTGACTAGTGAAACTTAAAGCATAAGTGGATTTAATTATGGCAGCACTGAATCACTGATGTAGATCAAGGTACCAGTTAATCTCTGTTACAATCTGGAATAAACTGTCAAACCGCATTTGTATGTATACTTTTGAATCTTTGATTTGTAGGTTGGCTAGTCAATGTTTTGGCTTATTAATCTCTTAGATCTATACCTTGCATCGTGAAATGGAAATTTCATTTTCTTTACCATTTGGCTAGTGAAACTGCAAGTGTAAGTGGATTTAGTTATGACAACACTGATGTAGATCAAGACACCAGTTTAATCTCTGTTGCAATCTGGAAAGATCTGCTGTATCACAGTTGCATGGTTGGTTTTGAATCTTTGATTAATGGGATGGTTGGTGAATGTTTTGGCTTATCAGCCTCTTTTTTATCTAAACCTTGCATTGTGAAATGGAAGTTTCATTTTCTTTACCATTTATGTTCATTTTTTTATGATTGAGGAAATCATTATTTCTGATCTTGGAAAACCTTGAAAAAAAAGAAAAGAAAGAAGAAAATTGAGGAAATCTTTTGACCTATGCAGGGATATTCTTTGACACATATGGGGAATACTATGAAGACATGAGGGAGTTTCACCAACATCTACCTGCGTTATTAAAGCCTGGAGGAATCTACTCATTCTTTAATGGCCTATGTGGTGGTAATGCTTTCTTTCATGTTGTTTACTGTCAGTTGGTTTCCCTAGAACTTTGTAATTTGGGTTACTCCACACAATTTATTCCCTTGCCTGTCAAGGATTGCTTAGGAGAGGAAGTCTGGGAGGGTGTAAGGCACAAATATTGGCAGCTAGATACATACTACCTCCCTGTTTGTCAGGCTTCTCTGGATTCTGACTGATGTTTTAACTTGATTGAGAACTTGTTTCCTTGTGTTATATTTTCGAAGCTTTAATTGGCTTTCCTGGAATCAAATACTTGTTATGTATTCCATCTCTTCTGCATAACCTCAGAATTGGATGAACAATGTCAGCACGACGAATTCCTATATGGAAGATCCTTTGTCGTTTACATTCAACAGCCTCTGCCATCCACGGGGCTCTCCCTGTGCGGCATGATAGTCCATATGAATTCCATGCAACGGTGTCAGTGCTGAAGACATGGCTGTATGAATTGGTGTATCACGTGGATGGAGCCTGTGGACAGCAGAGTTCATATGGACAGTTAAAGCTTTCTCCCTGTGAAAATATATAGATTCAATACAATTGTATCCGGTTCGATATTGGTTTCATTTGATCACATGATAATTTTATCTTGAGTGTTTCATTTTTATAAATTATAATAAGAAAAAGCATGTCCAAATGTACAAGAGGCTCAAAGTGCAGTCTCACATTGACAAGTGAGAACATCTCCCTATGAATTGAACAAGATGCCCCCAATTTGTGGCTGGGCTCCTCAAAGTGGGAGAAGTGGATGGCTTTATGCTCGCATTTGTCATTTGTGGGAGAAGATAAAATGGTCGTCAGTGGTTCGACTCCTCTACTGGTTCTATGAATTTGCATAAACTTGGAAATAGAATCAGCCTCTCACACGGATCAGTTGTACAGCGGTGCCACCATTTAATTAATAAAAAAGAAAAGGAAGAAGATTCCCCTTGCTTTTTTTTTGGGTGGAACCTTGTGAAGAAGATAAAAGAACCTCTTAAAAACCTCTGTACGAGATATTGTCACATTTGTTGTGAGCTTCTACATTTTCAGTCTTCACCATTTTATTGGGATTCCTTTTTTCTGTTTGAAGAAAGGTAGCTGATTTGGTATAAATTCTTCGTTATGGATGCAAAGACTATCTTTGTTATGGAAAATTTCCTCGAAACTTGCATGCTCACAGGATAAAAAACCAAATGGCCAATGTCATCAGATATGCTCTTAAAAGATATTTTTTTAGCACATTGTTTCCACCATTGGGTAAGCAAAGTTTATTTTTACGGGAAGCTTTTAGGTCCAAACAAGTTTCATATTCGAGTAAGGGTTGATCGAAACCGCCAATCTTTGAAAACCACAAGAAAACAGCCAATGCCACCTCAGGTGTTCATGTTTATTGTGCAAGGGTAGGGAATGAAAGACCATACAGCATTGCAGCTTTTGTTTTCTTAATTAATCTGGTAAAACGTCTATGGAACATAACTGTTTCCATTTTCACCCAACTTGAATAAAATCTTTGGCGGTGTTTGAAACCGTGGGCGTTTATTGAATAAATGCTGCCACATTGATACCACTTCAGCATTTCCCTTATTATGTGGATTTGTATGCATAGAGACTTGCAAAAGCAAGCAGTAATTTATGTGCATGCCTACCATTTGGGGAAATTTCATTTTAGCGCTTCCCCCAATGGGTAAGTAAGTGTTTATTCACTGTTTTGCTGATGTAGCATCTAGTGGTGCCTAAGTGTCAATAAACGGATTCATTATTACTTTTCTCAGTTTTGCAAACAAATCAATGCCCACGGTTCCATACACATACTTTATCCTTAGGCCATGTTTGGGAGTGCTTAAAAATAAGTGCTTATTTGTACCGGGACTACACCATTAAGCACTTATTAGTGTTTGGGAAATATGCCTGAAATAAGTGCTTATTTTAAAAATAAGGGCTTATTTTTTAAGCCCTAATTTCCAATTTTTTCAAGTGTTTATACAATAAGCACTTGTTCAATTTTTTTCTTCCAAAATGATCTCTAGTTGAATTTTAAAATGCCACTTATAAAATTATCCTAATGAAGGTAGATTTGACCCTCCACAGACATCATGACATGTGACATCTCAAAAACATCTGGATGACACCCGACACCATATAGGCGATGACCTGCCTTAGATGGAAACCTGAAGACCTACCTCCAGAGGCTTGCTGGAGACTTAGAGACCTACCTCCAAAGACCTACTGGAGACCTGGCGACCTACCTTTGGAGACACATAGCATCCAAATTACACCTCGCACCAAGTCAACAAGCTAACTCAATAAAATTAGCTCAAAACATTTCACTTAGGCCGACCTCCACTTCGGCGAGACCTAACTAGCTGACCCCATAGGATTACGGCGAGCTATCCTAGGAGTCAATCAAGCTATAGGGACTTAAGGCGACCTACTAAGGAGAGCTTGCTAACCACCCTTGCAGTTCTCAATACAGCTCGGTAAGGCCGAGCTGGCAGACTCGTAAGATTACGGCAAGCTATCCTAAGAGCCGGCCAAGATGAGAGGACTTAAGGCAACCTACGAGAAAGAGCTCACTAATGTCCCCAGTAGCTTGCTACCAAAAGCACCGATAGTGCAACCGTTAGAACAGTTCACGTGTCGCATGCTAGATTCTATGTAAACGTATCATAACTTCTGCAAAAATCTCTCAACTGACACCTTAATGCGCCTGAAAATATGGAAGCAGTTCCACAAAGAGCTCAAGACTGTTACCTTGAGCCCCCAGAGTCCAGGGGCCTATATAAGACGTCCAAATCCACCCAAAAAGGTATGCACACATAAGCTCTCATACCCTCTCGCATACTCTCACTAAAGACCCCATACTGACTTAAGCATTAGAGTGTCTTCTTGGGTAAATCCTACCCAAGCACTCTAACTCGTCTTTCCTTTCAACTCTTCTCAGCTCAAACTTGCAATTCACAGCTCAGCAAAATAGCTTGGCATTGCCTGGTTTGAACCCAATTCGGGCCACATCATCAGACACGAGGGTGTGAGCGGATTGTGCTTCATCATATCCCTAGTTGAATTTTATAAAATTACTTTCGTAAACGTACTTCTGTACTTTCGTAAAAGTGCTTTCGTATAAAAGTACCTTTCATAAAATTGCTTTTATAAAAGTGCTTTTGTAAAAGTACTTTCATAAAAGTGTTTTTATAAAAGTAATTCAATAAAAATACTTTCATAAGGGCACATTTTGAAAATTTTAAAGAAAATAAAGGACAAATAGTTACAAATGCTTATTTAAGTACTTATTAAAGAAAAAGACTACCAAATGCCCAATATAAAATAAGCACTTGAAAAGGTTAGGTGCCAAATACAAATAAGTGCTTATTTGAATAATCAATTGTTTTTAAACTCTTATTCAGTAAATATTTATTTTTAACTTAATCACTCCCAAACATGGCCTTAGAGTGGCTGAGAATAAGATTTGTTCAGTTGAGACCGGTATACTTTGATAAGCACTTATGTGATAAATTATACGTAATAGAACTTAGTAGAGAAAAATGAAGAAGAAGAAGAATATGAAGAAGAGGTTCGGGTGATAGAAGAGAAATTAATTGTTGAAAAACAAGATAAGATCGTACACAGTTAATCTGTGTTCATGCATGTTATTGTGTTTAAAGCGACAAAAAGTTAAAAAAAAAAATTAGTTATTTTTAATTGATACATGTATAATGGGTATTGGGTACAACTATGATACTGAAAAACTTCTAATCACATGTATCATGTCTTTGGTGCAGCATAGAGTTTTCCTATATCGACTTCGGCTTTTAATTGGATTGGATAGGGTCTTTATCCGTTCAATTATTAATTGGATCATCGATGCAAAGGTATTGAACCTCTGGAGTCTCTTGATATCTCTATATGAAAGTCCTGATAGTTATTCCAAGAGAACGAAAAAAAGCTGCATAAATAAGCAAAAGGTTCTCATTGATCCATCAAATACACTTGCAAAAGAAATCGAAAGGTAAAACTGGTTACTTCAATTTGGTGTGTGAGTTGAAAACCATTCCTTCTAATTTAACGTGCAAATTTGCAAAACGATGTGGTCATCATCAGAATTCTCAAGATATATTATAAATATATGTTGAAGCTCAAAGTTCCGAAACTCCCATCTTCAATTCTGGTGGTAGTATAATATCAATATACTACCATCAGCCGAGCTCAGTTACCTTTGATTGCAGGTCTCTTAAGCAGCCGAGGTCTTTCTCAATTGTCGAGGTGCCAAACCGAGATCTCCCTCAGCTGCTGAAGTGTCGAGCTAAGGTTTACCTAGCAGGCAAGGTGTCAAGCTAAGGTCTCCCTTAGTTGACAAGGTGCCGTGCTAAGGTCTTCTTCAGTTGTCGAGGTGCTGAGCCAAGATTTCCCTCAATGGTTGAGGTGTTGTCTAGCTCGAGCTCGATTCAAATTAGAAACTTGAGCTCGAGCTCAGAAGTTCGAGTTTGGCTCGACTCAAACTCTACTACCTTTGATTGCAGGTCCCCTAGCAGCCGAGATGCCGAGCTGAGAGAGAGAGATGTCATTCTTGTAATTTATAAGAAAAAGAGAGAGAGAGAAAAATTGGTAGAAGAGAGAGTGGCATTCTTATAATTTGAAAGAAAAAAAAAAAAACAAAGTTAGAAACCTACCAGCGGTTGAAGTGTCCAGCTGAGGTTTCTCTAGTAGTTGATTTGTACACAGGGAGTGTATAGGACAATGTGTTTAAATATAAATACACATGAAAACAACTTAATGCAGATTTACATCCAATGTCTTCCCCACAATTCCAGAAATGACCAGCCCTCTTCGTACATCAATTCCGGAAATGCTAGCATATGCAATCTGCAAGATCTATTTAGAGCAACTCCCTCAAGTTTATTAACACCAACCAAAATATAAGAAATAGAAATTCAACACAAAGGAAAGGCCTGATGCTTGAGCACCAAATTTACATCCAAATAGACCATTTAATATGCAAACAGAAAGCAAAACATAGGCTGGGTTTTCGTTTCCAGGGAGCCAATACCTGAATACCATTGGGCAGTAGTCCTTCCAATCATAAAATGCACTCCAATATCTTGCACCAGACCAAAACACGTTGTATTAGAAAAAGAAAACAAATGAAAATGGCTTGTTAAAGAGAGCCATGTTGAGTCATTAAGATAATGAGCAAGTTTCTTATGAAATAAGAAAAATATCTCTAGGATTCTGACAAGAAAAAAATAAAAGATTTTCAAGCAGAGCATAATAGTCATTAATGAGTAATGAGCAAGATAAAAACAATGTAGAGAAGAATGAGTATTTCTTGTACCTTAATTTAATATATAGAAAATAAGCAAGATAAAAACAAAAACCCTAAGAATCAATCACTAATAACAGGGAAGTCTATTTATCCTTTTTACCTATGTACTGTGTTTTGATTCAACCAGCACCTCGTCTTCCTGAGGACTGCTTGGCATCAACCTTAGGACTCTCGGAGATTCCAAGATTCTGTGAAGAAGCTACCTTGTGGTGGAAATTGGATGCTTTGTAGGGTTCGGAGGTGGAGTCAATAGAAGGTTCTTTCAGTACTAATCAGCCTCTCTAATTTGACAATCTCATCTTTCACAACTTCTACGCAGAGACCACTGATCCACTGACCTTGATACCTATCCCATAGCCTTAGAAATTGCAACTGGATGTTAGCGTACAAAGACATAGAGGATTCTGGGGTTTTCCCCGAAACAAAGAAAGAGGGACATTGGGTTTTCACTCAATACAGAGATAGAACTCAAGAGAGTGAGAGATGGGGGAGGGGGAGGGGGAGGGCGAGGGGAGAGAGATATCTCTCGTTAGGGGTTTTTTCCCTCAGGACTTGGTGGGACGGTAGGAGACGTACTGATGGCCAACTACACGCGGATCAAAAATTCAAAATCAAAGTGGGTAGACGCAGTCCTTCAAAAAGAATGGATGGAGGTCGTACTCAAAATTCTTACCTGTGGACAAAACATCTGGACCTCACACGTAATTACGTTGGTGAATTAGGCGGCCAAATGCACGTAACACGTGTCCTCTGTGTTTGCTGATAATGCTTTATTCAATCGTTGGCTGCAGTGGATGGTGGAACTGTTTATGAATTTATGATCTTTTTATAATTGTCAGATTGGAGGAACTTGTTTATTATTATTTTCTTCGAGGAGCAAGGAATCCATATCTTTCCAATGATGTTCGGTCCAGATCGAACATCTTTCCGACTTGACTTGCGTTGGGCCACCAACTGGAATCCTTTTTATCCAATTTAACTTGCCTTTGCGGTGGCTGCTATATGATAATAATACATCAGCCTTTTTTTTAGTGAAAATAATAATACATCAGCTTGAGCTTCCAGCATTTAGCAGAAACACATCAGTAAAATTACCTTTGTACCCCCAAGAAAAAATTGCAGTAAAACCACCAAATAGTGGGATCTCAGTGAATCCAATCCATTCTATGAACTTTCACTCATCTCATTCTCAAAAGAAGGGAAAGCTACTTTTCATGGTCGATATTGCAACCACGTTACCCATGTTACTGTGAGGACTTATATGATTTTCTTAAATGGGTGACGTGGCTTTGCTATCTACAGTCAAAAGGAGCATTTCCTCTTTTTAGTTTTAATTTTAGAAGGAGCGAAAGATTTTTCAAATTTTACATAATGCTACAAGAAACAAGTCAACAACATGCTATACTACTAATCTGCTTTTATTTCTTCCTTGTAGCTTCGCAGGGGGTTTCACGAGCTCTGCGTCAAAACTCAAAACAAAACCTGGCCGTTGGTGGTCGTGACCCCCTGATCCCATGGTCTAGATGATTCTTCGTTCATGAAAGCTAGATCGAAGCTGCTGCTCCTGCTCGTTTATCTCAAAATCTGCTCTTTCTTTAATCATCGCCCCGTTCCTTAGAAACGCGGAAAACCCTCTTTCTCTTTGTTCCTACGCTACTCATTTATTACTACTATCTTCTCCATCGACTGCCTACAGATTTCCGGCAGAGTTTTTCATAGTAGCAGATAAAAGCTTATAATTTTTGTAGTCTTTCTGACGAAGCATCTATTTATTTATTTATAAAACATTATTATTCGAAGGGAGATTTCTCAGATTTCTGATGGCTTCGAATTTCGACCGGTGGGAGAAGGATCCTTTCTTCTCCGCCGCAGAGGAAGTTCAGGAATCCGCTGACAGGTAGCAGAACTTATAAATTTGGTATTGGGCTTTTAGTTGGGTCTTATTACTTTTTTATTTCTACGATTTCTTCTGCTATTCTTTTTTTTTTTTTTTTCGTTCTAATTTTTCTTCTATTTGAAGGATGGAATCCGCATATAGAACCTGGATCCACGAAACGAAGGAAGCTTCTGGCATGTGTGACTCGGATGAGCTTCGAAGGGATCTACATACAGCCCTTGGCACAGCAAAATGGCAGGTGAATTCCCTATTCCATGGTCTAATTTTTCAAATCAGGGTTTTCGAACGGTCAATTTGATTATTAGGTGTCTTTAATGCTAGCTTGAGGAGTTTGAACGAGCGGTGAGATCGAGCTATCGGCATAGCTCGGCCCAGGATGCAAGAACCAGGCATCGCCAATTCATTGCTGCAATCGAGAGTAAGATTGCTACAGTTGAAAATTCGTTAAAGGAATTGGTCCATGCAGAAGGCAAGTCGTTACCTTGGGTGAGTTTGGATGAAGGAGAACGGGATGAGCTTGCATTGTTTCTATCATCTCCATCTTCACATGGAGACAGGATCCCTGCTACGATCCCTGGCAGGGACGAAGAAGAAGGTGCTCCACCAGGTGTGCGTGGAGAATCACTGCCTGATTGTTCCAAAAATTGGAACCATTCCGCCGATTGTGGCTCACAAGAGACTAAAGACGATAGGTTGCATGGGCATTGGAGAACAACAAGTGCTAGTGCCGACATTGGGTTATGGAAGATTGCAATTGATCACGAAGACTTCCAAAATAGTTCTTTTGATAGACCGCCTGATTTACCCCCTCCTAAGGTGCTTAGTTTCTCTGGGTTCCTAAGGACAATGGAACCTCTCTCCAAACTGAAGTGGACCAAAAATGGTTTTAGGAAATGGAAGTGTGGGGATCGTTATCAAGCAGAAGGTACTTCCCTCTTGCGGTCTGATCAGTTGGGTCGGGTAAGAAATTTTAGAAATGCTGTTATCACATTTGACAATTAGAACTGCAAGTACTCATTTGTTTCATGCTTAATTGGCTTTCGATACTTATAATTCTTTTCCTTGCTTTCTTTTCCCAAAGGGAATTAATGCGTGCTATGAGAGAAGCAAGAGCTGCATTGATGGCTATGATGATTCATATGATAAACAACTCTATGGTTGCTTTGGAGCTGTCCAGAGACAACTACAGCGGTCTCAATATCAGATACAATATGGTCGGCCTATTCAACTGATCATCTGGGTTGCTCTGGCCTTATTCTTGATTGGTGAGTTTAACTGGACTCTAACCACTGTTTAATCAATTAAAGGGGCGTTTGCCGAAATATTTGAAAAAAAAAATATAATCATACATATTAATGAACAGCCCCAAGAGTTCTTTTTCCTGTTGTCTATAAATTCCATTTCCAAAATGATTTCAGACTTTTTCTACTTGAACCACATTGCTACATTTTTGTATTTTCCTCAAAATGTCACCTTAACTTCTGTTGATTCTAGGTTGAGTGATTCAGCTATGTTTGGCATGCTTTCAGAGGATTGATTTTTATGAATTTTGTGATTCTAAGAACCATATTGTAGTTTGAATGTGAAAATTGCTGGAACTAGTTCTTTTTTCTCCTCTGGGCTTCTAAGAATTGATTCTCTGGAGATAGAAAATTTAGCTTCAAAAAAGAATAATTTATTTATCAAAACTCATTTTTTAAGTAGTTATTCATTGGAGCAAAATATTAACCCAACATAGCCTACCGATCAAAACACACACACACAAAAAAAGAATCAATTATAAGCTAAAGGGTTGAAATCATTTGCTATTAATTCCTATGCTTAGTGTGTGATTTGTTGATTTTTTTTTTAATTTTATAATTTAAATTTGAGGTGTCCATAATTTAACAATTGATATGATATTGAACAGAGTGGAATGGCAGAGTGTAGCTGACCCTACATAGTTAGGGAAAGAAATAATTATCTGATAGAAATAAACTGGTCTTCTTAGGAACTTCCCATAAATATCTGATAGAAATAAATTTGGGAAACATACATGGATATACTTTTTTGAAACTGCAGTTGCACAGTTCTTTTTTTCAGTGGGTTGTGATAGAAAATTGAATATTTTACCTTTCAAAAAAGCATTTCCTTTTTCAGTGGGTAGTGATAATGTTTTCTTAGTTTGAATTTCAAATGCTATTGGGATTTTAAAGTGAATGAAGGAAGGATGCAATTTATATCTGGATTGGTGATTTAGTTTTGTTTGATTATGAAATTGACTTGGATAGATAAAAAGGAAGTTCAGCTTAGGATAGGGGAACCATGGGTCAAGGGTCTTGCAGGCCATGTGCAATTATAAGTCAAACAATTTACTCATATTTGAGAGAAGAAAATATGCATTCTATTTAATTGGCAATTTGGATGGATAGGGTGATAGGGTAACAAAGTAAGTAAAGTTGGAAAAGGTATTTCTTGTTAATTCTATCTTTTTAACCCCCAAGGAAGGAAAGAAAGGAAAAAGAAGCCGTTGTTAACAATAGGTTGAAGATGATTCAATCAACTGATCCTGCCTTGTGAATATGATGGGGCATGTGAGAGTGGTGAATGATAAAGAAAACCTTTAAACCTGAAACAGAAGAGATGTAAGAGACAATAATATTCTAATGGCTGCTTGGGTTTATTTTTTTTTTAATCTTGCTTCTATTTTAGCCTGATTGGTCATATATTGAAAGAATGGGGTCATATGACCTTTTCCATTTGTATGATATTGTTCAGTGATATTTTCCCAACCATCAATCCTGCTAATAATGTTGAAGTCACCCTGATTGTCGTTTCTATTAGAAAGTGGAGGATATTATTTGTTTCCTTTAATAAATTAATCAGTTCAATTATTTTTTGATTGCCCAGAAGTGTGTTTGAAGTGTAGAGGTGTATCTGGTGTGTTCTATGTGACCAGCACATTCCAATGAGAATAAGTGCCTGTTTGAGAGGGCTTTCCCCTAATAGTTCTTGGCGTTGCAACTTGCAAGGTGGGACCTTCCCGGACAGCCTATAATCAATATTTAGCGGAAAACCTGGAAAGCCTAATTTTTCTGTCTTTCAGCCCCCAAAAAAAGGCTTTCAGTTGAAGCTCCTTTCAGTGGCTTCTCCAAAGCACTCGAAAGCTTCAGCCCTCCCAAACGGGCCTTCATCTTTATAAGGAAAAATCTATAGGATAGTTTTAAAACCAAAATTGCTGTATGGACAGAGTTCTAGGCAATCAAGAAAATGCTAGTGACAAATAAATTTGGAGATCCAACCTGAATGGCAGTTTTTCCATTAAATCAGCCTACAATGAAACTTGCATAATGAATGGCAATAACCCAGGAAATTGGAATAGTTCCAAAAAAGTGTGGGGTATGAAAACCTTCCAAAGTACGAATATTTCTTATTCTTGCTTCTCAACCTAAAGCTGCCCACACAGAAAATGCTAATTTTGAGAGGGCTGAATATTGATGGTTCCTGTGTGATGTGTGGAGAGTAAGAAGACATAGACCACATTTTTATAAATTTCCCTATTGCTAAACAAGTGTGGGATATTGCTAGACTCACTCCGGATTCCCAATGACATCAACAGTAATATTTGTGATTGGTGGAATCTCATCTCGAGTAATAATGAAATGGATCCGGGTGGCTCCTATAGAAAGGAGAAATTTGTGGTCCTCTAGCAACTTTGGAAGAATTGCAATGAATGTGTTTTTAAAAATAGGAGGTTGCCACCCTCTATTATCATTGAAAGGGCTTATAATACGTTTTTGGATATCAAAGGGGTGAATGGTGGAGATCAAAGTAGTTTGAGAAAGAAGGAAGTTGTTCCTTTAGATGGAATAGTCCTGATTTTGAGGCTATTAAAATTAATTTTGGTGCCTCGTGTATTAATGGGGACTGTTCAGTTGTTTGTGTTTCCAAGGATCACGTGGGTCATATTTTGGATTTCAAGGCTTACAAGCTAGGTAAAACTACAATTAATGTAGCTGAAGCGTGGGCTGTATGGGAGGCCCACAATCTTGGTCTTAACTTTCCTAACAGGTACATCATCATCATCGAAGGTGATTCGAAGCTAGTATTGATAGTCTAAAAAGGATTTCCAGCCCCCCGTGGAGAGTGCGTCCAATTATTGAAGAGTGCAGAGCTTTAAGGGAGAGATTAGAGGGAATAATTGAGTATCAGCACATCTACAGAGAAGGAAATATTGCTGCAAACTGGCTAGTTAACCATGCTCACACCAACGAAGCATCTTTCAGCTCCATTCCTAGGCCTCTAAGTGTAATCGCTTGTTTTGATTTCTGGGGACGTGCTACCCTCGGATTCTGGTTCTATAAAAAAAAAATCAAGAAAAAACGTGTTACATAAAATGAGAATAGTTGAGATGAGGATGCTGAGATAAATGAGCAAGACTAGAAAGGACAGAATCACGAGTGTACTAGTTAGGGCTTGGGAGTAGCTCCAATTAGTGAAAAGATGATAGAAAGTCAACTAAGATGTTTTGTCATGTGCGTTGATTCACCAATGGGAAAGAGTGCATTTATGCAAGCAGAAGGTTCTAAAAGAATGGAATGACATTTTCTCTAAGCAGTGAACAGAGTGGAATGACAACAATATTCATGTAGCCAACCTGTTATAATTCGGACAAAGCTTATTTAAATCTATTTGGACTAAGAAGGTTCTAAAAAAGAGCAAGGAATGCCGAAGAAAAAGCGGAAAAGTACGGATAGGGTCAATGCAGATTTCTGAATTTTATTACAAACCTATAAACATTTTAAATGTCAAATACCCTCATTCTATGCCCCAATGTCTGTCTGTAAATTGGCATTAATTCCGAATTGGCATTTACCCCAATTGTACTTTGGGCCTAAAAATTCTAACTCGGGGCTGAATGATTCTCCTAAAAAAAAGTGGTCCGAAGTGGTGAAAAATGATTCAAGGATTTATAATCTGAAACAAAACATGTTTTGACAGAGCACGATGGTGGGACAGTATTTGTGTAACCGACCTTAATGGTCGGGGTTCAAGCTAATTTGAGTTGTATATTTCCATTGGTTAACAAAATACAGAAAAATTGTCAATAGATAAAAAGATTGAGATCAAGGTACCATTTCTTGGTGCAATAGAAAAATCTTAGAGCTGATTAGCATGAGAACATGGATTTTGGGTCTGGTAATGGCCACTTAATGCCAAAAATGCTGGGGACGGGGCATATCCAATCTATCCTTCCCAAGATCCTGAACAGTTAACTGGGACTAGCATTGCGTAACAACCCTTGAAATCAGCAGATAAAATGAACATGACTTCGATTTATTTATTTACTTTTGGGGGGGGGGGATTTTACATTTTTTAGTATTAGAGATTAAGTCGTCTGTTTCAATAAGCACAAATAAATAAACCAAGAAGGTTGTTACTTTATCTTGATGATTCTCTTAATTAATTAAGAGCTGGTTAAGTATATGCGAACATCTAGAAATAAGAAAATGACGCTGTCAGAAACATGCTATAGTTTTCAAGGCACTAAAGTGAGGTTAGGAAACAGGGGGAGGGGTGGCTTGTCTTCTGGTTGCTTTGGTGATGGATTTTTCTTTTGAATAAATACATGAATCTTAGGGTAGTTTCCTAAGTTCCGCAGCAAGCACCAACCATAGAAAATTAACATATTAATGAAAGAAAGAAAAGAAATTTCAGAGAATAAAAGGGCTGAGACAGTCACAGGAGAATTTTTTTTTTTTAAGTTAACTGATGGAATGTTAACAGAGGGGAGTCTTTGTTGGAATCCAAAAGTTTAAGGGGTGTAATTGCCACTATCCCCAAAATATAGGGTAATAATTTAAAATTTACCCTAAAAATAAAGTAGTATCTTAATTTTATCTCACAAACTGAATAGTTAGTTTAATAATGTCCGTTAGGGGTGTTCACAATCCGGTTTAGTGCGGTTTAGAGAAGATTTGAGACTAAATCAGTAAATTACGGTTTGAAAATTTCTCAAACCAAACCAAACCGTTTTGGCGTAGAAATTAAACCAAACCAAACTATTATTACGGTTCTTTGATATGGTTTAGGGAACTTTGGACCATTCTTTGATTCCATTGGAAAGCTCAAATAACTCTTAAAAATTAAAACTTAAAACTTTATTTTATTATAAAATAAATGAGTTTATTATATATTTATAATTTTATACACTTGGTTTAGATATATTATATTATATATAATATTTATACATCATAATTTATATAATTATATATGAATGTTTATAGATATTTGTGTTATATATAATTTTGGCTTATGGTTTATGGTTTGGTTCGATTTATAAATTCCAAGAAACCAAACTGAAACCGCAAACTATAATTTAGCAAAATATAAAATCGAATCAAACCACTTTCATGTACAGGTCGAACCAAACTGCAAATTTGGTTTGGTTTTGCAGTTTGAACCAATCAACCAAACACTAAACACCCCTAGTGTTTATTTTATTATTACAATCTAGAAAAATTAAGAAAAAGTAAATAATAGTACCATGCACAAAGTATCTTGACGATTAAGCAAGGTCACCCTCCATGGGCGTTTTGTCACCTAGACATCGCCTTCACAACTATGAAACAGGTATAGTTCAGAAATTGGAGTATCCTTGTTACATAAACATCGCCTTGACAACTATGATGCAAGCATGTTTCAGAAATTGGAGTATCCTTGTCACAGAGTTCCCTGATATCTGGGGTAACTTGCATAGAGAAGCATCAATGTACCTGGTCCAGTAAACTGTAATCAGCAGTCAGCACCTATATAACTCAGATTATACAATTGGTAATTGGTGATGATCTTCGTTTCGAATACTCTTTCTACTGATCATGATGTATCCTGAAAAGCTAATAGGTGGGACCTTAACAAAGTAATAAACCAACATGCAGTGAATGAACTTAAATCAGTCCACAAGCTGGAGACAGCGTTTACCAATTAATGATTTTTGCAAAGAAATATAGTCTGTAAACCTCCCGAGTATTTCGAGAGGCCCAAAGTATAGGAAGTTGTTAGATCTATTTTTAACTATTTAAAATAGCTTCTTGTATTCAAGTATTGAAGTGAACATAAAACTAGGTTGGTGTTTTTAATTACTCTAATCATAATCTTTGTTTTGTTTAATTTGAGCTTATAATGTTCTGTTTATGTTTACAGCCTTATTTGCTTTGAGTGCAATCTGTGGCAGTAGTAGTTGAACATTCTTTTCCTGGTGGCCAATGGAGGTTTACACTTGTTTTCTTGCATGCAATTTCATGTTCACACTTGCTTGAAAGAATCTTTGGACAAGGCACGTTATTGGAAACGTGTTAATGTGGCCTTCATTTATATTGAGCAAAGGAGACAAGCGACAGTAGTACTCGAACAGTGATCTTGGGCCAAAGATTGTTTTGTCTTTCTTGTGCTTGGCAGATGTGTAACTTGAGCTTTTTGCTGGAAGAAGCACTTGTGCACTGTGATGAACCAAGCATGTAAATTTTTTTTTTCACTTTTTTATGTTTTGATTCTCATTTATTTTTTCTTTTGTACTTTGTATCATCACAACATGGTAAAACTTAGAAGGGAAGGCATTAGAGTTGGCTACAAGTAGTTGATTCAGATTTCAGAAAAACGGTAGAGGAGAAATATTTTCCTCGATGCAATTTGACAAATCTTGGGAACTCATCACTCAAGCATGTAATCTTCACTGTATGCTTTGTATGATGATGCCTTTGATTTTTCTAATATTATAATGATGGCGGTCGGCGGTCCTTAGTTATGTTGTTTATTGTCATTTATTATTTAAAAGTAGGATCCGCCTTTTTTTTTTTCTCTTTGATCGGTAGTTCTCATTGGTGTGTAAATACAAAAATGATTGGTATAAATGCAAATATGTTTGATTGAAGAAAATGTAAAGTTGGATTAGTTTTATAATAATAATTTTGTATTCTTGCTCAATGATTTTTAACTGTGATATGTTAAATGTATAAACATGAACCTTAAGATTAGAATATATTCTTTTGATATTAATTAACTTTGACTGAAAAGTTTGTATTTATTTTAAATGCAATCATGCCTTAAATCTGTTTTTACAGGCATTTTCAAACATAAATATACTCTTACCAAACACTAGCAATAGGGCTGAAAAAGGATCCAGATCCGGATGGATTGTTTCGGAAGAGTTCTCCCAATTATATGGTTTCGTAGTTTTTCGTCATTAAATGTTAATATTATTTACTTAAGCCTTTAACCTTTAAGTTTGAGACGTCATTAAATCGTAATATTATTTAATTAAATGCTTATTTCAGTTACTTTTAATTAAGACATTTAATTTGTCATTAAATATTATTTAAGTCAAATAATTTGTTAAAAAATTATAAACTAAAGGTAACATGTTTCAAACCCTAGTCATTTGCTTATGATAATAATTAATTAACCATTATGGCAACTTTAATTACTTATCATAACAACATGTTTTTTATGCATAAAGTAATCTTTCTTGCCCTTTCTTGCCTTGGTAGATGTTTCCCAACAATTGTTAAAATTTGACTATTAAAATTTATATAATAATAAGATTAGTATCAATTATATTTATTTATTAAAAAAGAAGGTATATATATTAACTTGTATTCATAATAAATATTATCTAAATCTACATATATAATAAATATTAATTAATAAGTGGTTTCTAAAAAATATTAGTATATATGTTTTTTATGTTTAAATAAATTAGTTATAAACTTATAATATTGTTGTTAATATTTTTTAATGATTCTTTTAGGATTTTCTAACATATCTATGACTTTATGCATATCTTGATTTTTCATCGGTATCTATACGTTTCCAAAGTGTATCTCAATATATCTCTTAAAATTACCTTTTCCGATACACCTTACATTTAGGGGTGTCAATTGGACTAGATTTGGTCCAATCTAGTCCAAACCAATGTGAGTCCATTACAAATGGACCTGGTCCAATATAGTCCAATTAATATTTTGGACCACTTTGGACCGGTTCAAAGACTGTTCAATCTGTTCGAATTCTTGTTAATTTAGATTGGTTTCAACTCAAACCTGGTCCATGGACGCTTATGCTCTTATATTCTATCAATGGACCAAATATTGGTTCAATCCAATATAAAATCATTATAGATGAACCAGGTCCAATCCAATATGTCATATTGGTTCGTCCATTTCGTCCAAATTCATTGTCTTATTGGTCCGTCCAATCCATCCAAATGGATTTTGATTTGGATGGAGTCCAACCCAAAATCGGTCCATTGACACTTCTACTTACGTTTCTGATAATTGTGAATCCCATCAGATTTGAAGACCTTGGATTCAAATTTGAATCCTAATAAAGTAGTGTAAATATAATGTGCTGTATTTATTATGTATATAAATTTATATATAATAATATAATGTATAAAAATATTTTTATAAAATTAAATATAATTATATAAAATTTATATATTAAAATTAATAAATATTATAATATAATTGAATTCAGATTTTAATCGGATCAGATATAGCTAAATCCAAATTCAATCCGACTATTAATCAAATATAGATTCTAAAATCCAAATCCGATTTGATTACATAAATACATCTAAATCTAAGATAATTGGATTGGATGTTGGATTGGGTCACAGATTTTCAGATATTGACAAGCCTAATTAGCAAAATTAATCAGACTAAATATGTGTTGAACCAACATTTGCACTCTTCTCAAATGGAGTTAAGTTCTAAATAATTGGCCAATTTTGGGTAGTTGATCCGTGCAAAACCTTTATTCAAAATTTTGGGTGATATTTTACTATTTTGAAAATTTCATTTGGACTACACAATAGGGATAGTCCATCTCTCAAACCCATAACCCCCAACTGTGTGGGGTGTCAATTAGACTGGACCAATCCAATATAGTCCAGTGTGATGTGAGTCCATTACAAATAGACCAAGTCCAATCCAATCCAATGAATATTTTGGATCAGTCCCATTCAATGTCTAGGCCGCCTAATCTATTCAAATTCGCTTTAATTTAGATTGGGTTCAACCCAAACCTGGTCCATTGATATCCATATTCTTATCTTATATCAATGGATCAGATATTCATTTAATATCTAATAAATATTTTGGGCTAAATTGATCCAATCCAATATGTCTTGTTAGTCCATCCAATCTATCTAAATTGATTTTGGATTGAATGGGATCCAGTCCAAAACCGGTCCGTTAACACCCTTAGGTGTGCAGACAGGATTTGATCTCAGTCTGATCTTATCAACTAACCAATTGGCACCATGCAAATGAAGAACTCAAGTTATTGAACTTCACTACTTGATTTAAATAAACTAAGGCAGTATTTGTAAAGGTTTTCTTATCTTTCCTTTCATTTTCTTACTTTTTCCTTCAAATCAAACATAAAACTCCAGTTGGAAGGAGCGTAAAACCTTATATTTTATATTGTTTTGTATATATTTATACAGTAAAAAATACATATTTGTATTTGTATTCCCTCCTAAGCCTAAGTGAATAAATAAGATTTCTCGTGTTATAATATCGTTAAAGCCTTGTTGGACCTTGGTCCAAACATGTTACATGTACGTGGTATTGGCTCAGCCCAAGCCCGATTTATCCATTGGATGGGTTGGGCTAGATTAACTCGCTCAAACCAGATCCAATCCCCGAGTCCAAGGTTGTGAACGCTGTCTCTAGTCTATAGACCATAATGCGGTCAAAGTCCACAGAAACTGTTGCGAAGATTCATATTAAAGACTTGAGATGAGAATTCAATTGACACTCACGGTTTCCGGTTTCGTTATCCATCCAATTCCAGATCCATTTCCATCTATTGGTCAAGACTTGTAAAAGACTTAAAAGAGGAGAGAGGATAGTGATAGTGAATAGTGATTGATATCTGCACGTTCACGCGAAACGGCAGTCTCATCTCATCATATTCTTGCTTGCTGCGTTGCTTACATCAACTTTTCTTTGGGTCCGACGTGTCCTTACGGTCTCAACTTTGCGTTTCTGTTCTCCACCGCTTCAAATTGAATTTTCAATTCATCGTTCACTCTTCTTCTTCTTCTTCTTCTTCTTCTTCTTTAAATTAACTTTTCCCACCTTACTAACTCTATTCTCAATTTTGAACTCTCCCTCCCTTCTATCCGTCTGTCCTGACTTGTTCGGTTCGTTGGTTGCTCTGAAGGTGGCTCCTAATCTTCGCCCTTCGTTTTTCCCATTTTCATTTTCTGAAAATAATATTATGTTGATTCTGTGGTGCCGGTAGGAGCAGAGAAGGGATTTTGCATGACGAGTGCTTCGGAGCTTTTCTATGTCCGCAGGTCTCGCGCAGGCCGAAATACCACTGAATTAGGGCTCTTTTCCGCTACCGATCGAAATCTCCACCAGAACCGTCGCCATACTTACCAACGCAGCGACGACTGCGATCCGTTACGGCGATCTTCGCATGTCAGGCATCTCTGTTCTCCTGGATTTCATACGGTCAGATAAACTAATTTCTCTAATTTTCTTTTCTTTTCCTTTTCTTGTTCTATGTATCAATGGTCCTTTTCTTTTACATGTAATACGGAATATATTATCTTTTTATTTGAATGCGAAAATCCTAGATTAAATGAGATTTCTTCCCTAAACATGTTGTGTATTTCTAATGGCTTCGGTTTGTCAACCATTTCTCTTTCCAGATACATTTCGGTTTGTCAACCATTCGGTTTGAATGCGAAAACCCTAGATTAAATGAGATTTCTTTATTTTAAGATTAAAAACGTTCTTTGTGTCCCCTTCACATGATAAAACTTTCATCATTTTTCTAGTTCTTTGGGGTTAAGAAAGCAACGCGTCCATTATTGTAGAATGACTTGTAGCAGCTAATAGCCATCTTATCAACCTTGCCCTTGTTGTGGTGCTGTCAGCAACATATATTGTATCTCTGACTGAATTTAAGATGCCCACTTCATTAATTAAAAGAAAAGAAGGATTATGGATACAAGAGGGGAGATAAAATATCTTAGCTCCCCAAAAACTGAATACAAAGAGAAAAAATTAAAGACTAGCCCAAAAAACAGACTCCCTATTCACCCCTTGCTTGGCCAGCCCATCGCAAATGAGTTGGCACTCCTTTTCACTCAACTGTATTGTATCTCAATGTCCCTACATAACCACAAGAACTGCTTCTTTAAATTGTTATAGTTCCACAATCCGCTGTCCTCTTTCTTCAGCCAGCTAACCACCACCTTCGAATCACCTTCTAGGATCAAATGACTGATATTTAATTCCTTTGCTCTACAAATTCCTTCAAGCGCAGCAAGGATCTCAGTCCTAAGAGAGTCACCTTCTCCAATAGGGCCAGAGAACAAAGCAATAACAATCCCTTCCTCATTCCTGAAGACTCCTCTAATCCCTGATGGCCTTGGGTTCCCTACACTATTGCCATCAAAATTCAACTTTATAACACCCAATGGGGGGGGGGACCAAGAGGGACAAAGAGTCCTCTTGCACCTAGCAGTGGAAGCAATCTCTTTTCAATTTCTTTGTAAGTCATCCATAGGAAAGTCTAAAAACAACTCTAAAGATTTTAGCCAGTGGATAGCCCTTAGAAGGAATAGGTCTAACAGTTCTTCCAGGGTTCTTTCCTTGTCTGAAAAAATATGTGAGTTTCTTTCTTCCCACAATGACCAGCACACAGCTGCCCTAATACTCCTCCACATAGTCTTCTCTCGCTTCTTAGGCCATTGGAAAAAAGAGGGAGAGAACAAACTTTGAATACTCTCAGGCGGATTCCAAGAACACCCAAAGCGGGAGATAACCCACTCCCACACAGTTTTAGCAACCTTACAATAGACCATGAGGTGGTAGCCGGATTCCCTATCAGCTTTACAAAGAGCACATCTATTAGGAAGTAGACAATAATTGGGTCTCTTTCTCTGGAGTAGGTCAAATGTGTTTATTCTTTCTAGGAACATTTTCCAACAAAAAAAACCAACCCAAGGAGGAATAGCCGGAAATGACAACCCAAAAGGGCTCACTCTCATATTCGTTGCTCCATCTCCTTAAATTTAAGGGCTTTGGTTTGTCAACCATTTCTCTTTCCAGATACATTTCTTTCTGTCATTTAAATGCATTTTTTTCCTTGATACTTTGGTGAGTGTGCAACAATTCATAAGTAAATGAAGTACCATGAAAGGTCTAGTTTTTGACTTATGTTCAACTCAACTTAATTAATCCTAATCCAGACTATTCTGGAATAGGAACTTCTATGAACTGAGTTCTTCTATTGGCCAAATAAGACATCAGTTTGATCAAATTGTGATGCCATGGATTGTTCATCAGTGGTATGTTCTGTTGGAACTATTCCTCATAAAAGGTCCAAATTCAATAAACATTAGCTCTATAAAACAAAATCTAAGAATTGAAATTTAATCATCAGATGAGGTTTAGTGAATCAGTTTAGCACTTGTAGTGATTTGGAATTAATGCACTAATGAAAGTTCTAAATAGAAACTTCTATCTAGGTCACAGCTTGGCTCTAACTGAAAATTTGTCATGATTTTGATATTTCCAATTGGAATATAAAAAATAATTTTAATTGGAATGTTAAGTATCATTTGGGTTAAACACTTTGCTACTTTGAAATGTTTAACAGACTTTAATTGGAATGTTAAGGGTTGACAGACTGTATTTTTTATAGTAAAAAGAAAAATTCTATTAAAACAGAAGAAAAGATTACATTCTGAGGTCAAGGTAATGCCATGGGATGGATTAATCAAACAAAACCTAAACAGCAATCTAGACTTACAAATCCAATGCAATATGGAATCCTCGTCCACAATCCAAGCTATTATCTTGGAAAGAAAATTGGAAAGACCAACACCCATACTGCCACTGACTTTCCACTGAATGCCACCACTTCTCAATGGATCAGTGCAAATTCACAAACAACCTTCTTATCCTTCTTTCCAATTAATGCATCATCCAGTAAGGGTGAAGCAACTCCACACAATCTTGACCAACCAACTTCCTTTATGCAAAGGCCAAGAAGAAAAAAAGCATGAAAGTTTGATTTCACCACTCTGCTGCCAAAACCCCAAATTTCGAGTTTTTATCTTGCCACAAACCTTTCTATCTTTGACTCCTGTATCACCCCCACCTCTGATTTAATGTGTCTTATTACACACCTCACCATTAACCACAGCCCTTCAACTAGCCTTCCTCAACCCCTTTATAACCAACTCAGAAAATTCATCTCCCACCCTTGATCTCTCTACCCCACTCAACTCCTCTGGACAGTGAACACCAAAACCCCTCATTTTTCCCTCTCAAAAATTTCTTCTTGCATTATCTGTAGGAACCTATGTGTAGCTCCAATAGGTGATAAAATGAGAGACAGTAGACTAAGATGGTTTAGGCATGTGCATAGAAGACCACCAATTGCACCAGTTAAGAAGTGATTTATTACACATTGAAAGGGCTAGAAGAGCTCGGGGTAGACCAAAAAGGACATGGGTAGAAATAGTAAGAAATTATTTAAGCACTGGATTTGGCTTTTAAAGGGATTGGCAAAACAGGATTCATGTAGCTGACCCTATTTAGTTGGGATAAGGCTTGGATGATGATGATGATGGCTTCTCCCACATCCCAAATCTCACCCCCTCAATTAATTTCTTTTTTTTTTCCTCTCTTACTTTTTTTCAAAATGTTCAAAGGCTTTCCTTGCAAAGCCTTCACCTCCCCAAAAGAACAGACCAAGTGCTTTTCCCATTGCCACCACCCTCTCCAACCTTGGAATTTGCAATTTCTAAGGCCCCTTCACCACCCTTCCCCTTTGTCTCTTCCTTATCCCCCCTTTCAACCTCACCAATCTCTGCCCCTTCTCGTCAGCAGCACCTTCAGACAAATTCAGCAAGAATCTTCTCTTTTTTCTATTATAAACTCTGTTATGAAGATTATGCCCTTTCGTCCCATTAGAATTCTTCCAGTTTGCTTCAACTCCCCTCACCCCCCCTCCCCCTTCTTCTCCCACTTCACTTCCTTACTAGATTCATTCCAACCCTCAGTACGAGGCATAGGATCTGGACTTACCTCATTACTAAGAAGACCGGTTTCAGCAATGTCGCTTGTGTCACCCAATCCCTTCTCTGAATTAACCTCCTCAACTATCTTTGTCACAACCTCCACCCCACTCGCCAAGATGCCATTGAGAGATGCATGATGTTCATTGCGAAAGCTGCGATCACCTTTCCTTTTCTCCCTTTTCTTCAGCACTGTCTTCTTCTTCCTACCTTTCTACAAACCCAAACCCATTTCTCCTCGACACTATTCCTACCACTAATTGAATCCTTTGCCCCAAAAGATTTTTTCTCCACTCTTAGTAACTTACCCCTCCCTCTTAAAACCCTCAACTTCTTCCATCAGCCGTTTCCTTTCAAAACTTTGTTTTGTTTTTCTTCTTGAAATGGTCCCCACTCAGGCCTCTCGACTCCCTATTACCCACTACTGCTTGTTCCCCTTCTATTGAAATCTTCTCATTTGACTTTTGATCTGCTCTCTCACTGCCCTCACCCCTGACGTGTCCCTCTCGATGTAAATCCAATTCAAAATTTTCCTTCGAACTTCTTACTTTACCCTTCGAACATGCCACCTTCGATTGACTCTTCATCTCCCTACCTCCTCCGTTCTGTAACTCTGGTTCTTTTCACTATCCCTC